TCTTCTTCTTCTTCTTCTTCTTCTTCTTCTTCTTCTTCTTCTTCTTCTTCTTCTTCTTCTTCTTCTTCTTCTTCTTCTTCTTCTTCTTCTTCTTCTCTTCTTCTTCCTCTTCTCCTCCTCCTCCCCCCCTCCCCACCAGGGCAGCCTTACAGTGGCTAATAAGGCCATAGGCATGAATGAATTTTATTGTTACGGCACCCAGCCAGCAAAAGGCCATAGGCATTATAAACAATAAAACAATATAATAATTTTACAATTTAAAATCAACAGACCATTTAAAATACAACTCACATAAGGTAATGGAACTGTCTTAACATTCACCATAGAGAAAACAGTAGCTGGTGTCAGCTTCCTTAGGGCTTGAGTTCTTTCATATGGACATGGATGTTAAGCCAGCAGCCAAAAGTGTTTCTCCAACCATCAACTAGGGTACTTCAAACATGACAAATCTTTTCTTAGAAAACATTTTAATGTAAAAATCAGCATGACATTCATGTGAAGATTGTTACGTATAACGATCGCACATGTGTATGTTTCACATGGTATATATGCACTGGGAAGTCACAACCAATTGCAGCTTTCTAGTCTATAAACAATGTACACATTGGCTTCACATTAATTTCACACCGAACTTCTTTGAGTAAGCAATTCTTCTTATGGTTTTGATAGACAGTGCGTATTGCTGGGGTGTCAGAATCCTTTGGAGTTGCTGAGATTCATACGTTTTTTCATTAATGTACAAAGGCACAAAATAATTCAGTTTCTTTAATCTTCCATTCACATAGCCTTTTTTATTCATGCACATACATACCTTTTATCTTTCACCCCACATACTATCAAAGTTTTCAGTAGTAGTTTTGCCAATCAAACACATTTTGGCTACATTTCAGATAAAATAAGTAAATAAATAGATTTTTCATCTCTGCCAAATCATGAAGTATTTACAGGAAGTGCTTGACAGAATAGAAAGGATGTGAAATCTTCACAAAGCCCACGTAACTAGCAGACAAGATAGCCCAGTCTGGTAGACTGAATGAAGAGAGACCCACATAGACAAGTGATTACTGGAAGACAGAGAAATATAAGGGATTCAACAGCAGGAATTCATATCCTTAACAGCAGGTGTCTGTATGAGAGAGAGGGAAGAAAGTGTTCACACATCAATCTACATGAGACACAGGAGACCCATAATCAGTATCTCCGAAAGCAGTAAAGGAAGGGGGCCAGTTTGGGTCAGGGCTACAGTATAGGGAAGACTACTTCTCTACCCATGTAATTTTCCTGATGCAAGTCCTCCTCCCTTTGCTCCCCGGGGAGAAAATTACAGGAGATAAGACAGGTACTCATGTGTCTAACTCTACAGGGCAAACAGCAGATTGGGTGGTGGGGGATTTGCATCAGGAAAACTGCGTAGAGGAAAATATTAACTCTCCTCCCCCAGAACTCCCTCCATATTGAGCCTCTCTGTGGGTACTGTTAATATTTCTAAAAACCACAGGAGATCTGTGATTGATTCTCCCATCATCATGCTGTGGCAACTTCATAAATATAGATCAGACTCCAAATAGCTGGAAAATGCAAAATACGCTGTGGCATGTTGAACAATTAGTTGGTTCACAGTTGGCTCACAGGGAACTATAATCTCCAAATGGCTTACTTGTGTTTTACAAAAATAATTTCTGTGCAAAATTATCTGCTGAGTCAAGAGTAATGAGACCTGCTCTTTTGGATTATTGCAGATTATTTTCCCAGTTATCTAGCATATTCTTGAAGAATTCTAACAACCACCTTGTAAAGTAGGTTAGCATGATTGTTTCCATTTTGCAAATGGGGGCTGAAGCTGACAGATGCATCTGCAGTGCATAGCAGCAGTTTTCCTGATGCATATTCCAGGTAACTGCTGTAAGAGAAAAACATTGCTGTCTCTGCTGTAGACGGTAGATGTCAGAAAGGCCATTTTGTGAAGGGCCAGTAGGCCAGAAACACCCATTTCTTTCACTACAGGGGTGTTGGATAAGCCCCAAAGCTTTGACACCTAAAAATAGCTGTCAGGCATTCTGTTGATTATCACCAAAGAGAGGACAGTAAAGAAACATTTTAATCATTAATGGCCCCCCGGATTTCCCCATTTTCACACCTCTTTGTACATTAAGCAATTGGTACAATACCTACCCAATCACGGGTCTAGTTTTATTTGCTAGGGATTTTTTTTTTAAGGAATGTTTGCAGATAACCACTCCATACTTCCTGGTTGCTCAAGATCAACCCTCTCCTTTCCACTGAACCCCTAAAATAATGACTGTGGAGAAAGGGCCTTTCTCAGTCTTTTCAAAATCTATGGAAGCCTGCCCCACCTGCTGAGGGAAGTGTAGAGAACTGGAAGAACTGTATGTTTGGGGGTTAGCTGAAAACTGTTATTTTTATTTTTATATTTAAAAACATGTATTTCCCTTCTTGTTTCCCTTGTTACTACATCTCTGTTTCTGATTAGAATAAACTTTTAAAAATGTGGACTAATTACTCTGAGAGACATTCTCTTGGCTAACTTTCCACATGGTTGAGAATCCCAGCCCATTGCTACTTGAAGAGGCAATTAATGTGTTCTGGGGCCTTCTGAGAGTCTTTCAACCGTGTGAAGCCACTTTTCACCTCTGTGGGGTTAACACACGTGTATCTGGATTTGTAAGGTTCCCCAACACAGCAAATAGCAGCTCCCCAGGCTGTTTTAGATCTGGAAAATGGAATGTGGGAAAGATGTAAATATCCCCTTCTTGTGCTGCATTCCCAATCCTTATGCCTGATAACTGAGCTTAAAAAAAAAAAAAGTACCGGAAGCGCTGGAGGCAGAACTCCCAGCATTTCGTATGGTCTGCCCCTTGGGAATCAGCTGAGTAACACTGAACTAGCAATCTGTTGGAAAAGCTAGAGGGAGATCCAGAAAGATTTACTATTGAACAGATTGTGACCACCGGAAAACGAAAGAACTCTCTGGGGCAAACCCTCCTGACAATATGGATCCCCATTCCTCACCAGTCTCACTATGAAAATGAAGAGGCGTTAAGTTTTAAACACTGTCTCTTCCCAAAGTGGTTTTAGGCCCCTGGACTTCCACACAGTCCCTTCTGCAGCTGTTCTTTCTTCCTCTCTGTAGAATCTTCTGATGATTCCTACATCTCAGCGGGTGAGGATCCACTGGAGGCACCCATCTTTGAGATCCCTGTCCAGGATGTGATGGTCACCGCTGGAACTGAAGTGCTGCTAAGATGCATCATCACAGGCAACCCTTCCCCAGAAGGCAAGTGCACCAAATCGAGGGTGCATGATGGGTGGGAAATATGCACAGGAAAACATTTGGGGTCCCAATCTTTGTGTCCTTAACATTATTACATTCCACTTCTATACCAACATTGGCTACCAAAGCAGCTTGCCACTAATTAATCAAAATATTTATTTATTTGCATGAAATAAATAAATCCCGTGAACGGGCTCAGGGCGGCTTACAACAGAGCACAAAGTGCATACAATATATAAAATAGATAAAAGCAATTAAAATTCAATTCCATCAGGATGCAAGAATAGAGAACTCCCCACATTTTGCATAGTAGAGGGGAGGGCTAGGGCCACAATTGGCTGTTACTCGGCCCTCCGGCGGTGTCGCTCTATGGTGGAGCGGTGGTGGTAGTGGCAATTGTGGCTCCTACTCGAAAGCCTGGCGGAAGAGCTCCGTCTTACAGGCCCTGCGGAACTGCAAGATGTCCCGCAGGGCCCTGATCTCCTCCGGGAGCTCGTTCCACCAGATAGGAGGCGCCACTGAAAAGGACCTGGCCCTCGTTGCGGCAAGCCGGGCCTCCTTAGGGCCCGGGGTCACCAACCGGTGTTGTGACCCCGACCGAAGTGCTCTTTGGGGAATATGTGGGGAAATGCAGTCCCTCAGGTATGTCGGACCCAGGCCATGTAGGGCTTTAAAGGTGAGCACCAGCACTTTGAAGCGAATCCGGTATGCTATAGGGAGCCAGTGCAGCGCTCTCAGCATAGGTCGGGTGTGCTCCTGCCTAGGGGCGCCCACCAACAACCTGGCCGCAGCATTCTGCACCAGCTGCAGCTTCCAGATTTGTGACAGAGGCAGCCCCATGTAGAGAGCATTACAGTAGTCTAGCCTCGAGGTGACCGTCACATGGATCACTGTGGCTAGGTCATTGCAGTTGAGGAAAGGGACCAACTGCCGTACCAGCTGAAGATAATAAAAGGCCAATCTGGCAGGGGCGGGCACCTGGGCCTCCATCATTAAGGTCGGGTCCAGGAGCACTCCCAAGCTCCTAACCTCCGAAGCTGGCACCAAAGGTGCCCCATCGAAGGTCGGGAGCGGGAGCCCCAACCCCAGTCCGACTCAAGCACAGGACGTCCGTCTTTGCCGGGTTTAATTTCAGCCTGCTCAGTCTGAGCCACCCAGCCACGGCCTGTAACGCCCGGTGCAGATATTTTGGGTTGGAGTCCGACTGGCCCCCCCAACATCAAATAGAGCTGGGTGTCATCTGCGTATTGATGGCACCCTAGCCCATACCTCCGGGCAATCTGGGCGAGGGGGCGCATATATATGTTAAACAGCATCGGGGAAAGCACCGCCCCCTGAGGCACCCCACATTCAAGCGGGTGCCTCTGGGACTGCTGTTCCCCTAGCACAACCCTCTGTCCCCGACCTTGGAGAAACGAGGCAAGCCATTGGGGGGCAAGCCCCTGAATCCCCGCGTCAGCAAGGTGGTGGGACAGCAGCTGATGGACGACCGTATCAAATGCGGCCGACAGATCTAACAACAACAGCGCCGCCACTCCACCTCGATCGAGATGCCTACGGAGGTCATCAGTAAGGGCAACCAGCACAGTCTCTGTCCCATGTCCCGGACGAAAACCTGACTGGATTGGATCAAGGACGGAAGCGTCATCCAGGAAGCTCTGTAGCTGAGTCCAGGGCCAGCTCACCCACTAGGCGAACTAGGCATTCGCCTAGAGTGCTGGGCCCTGGATGGGGCGCCAAGCTATGCCTCCCCCCCGCCAAAAGCCCGCGAGCAGCTCTCCAAGTGTCAGCACTTCGCTAATTGGGGAGAGGCATCCGGTGAGCATCCCGCGCCTGGAGGCAGGAACCCCCCCACCTCCCTCCCAAACTGCCTTCGAAAGCAGAGCACGAGAGAAATCTCTCTTCCATCTTGGAGGGTGCTGCAGGAACACGTGGGGCGTGCTCGCAGGGTCTGCAGGGGGGGAAGAGGCGGTGGCGGTGGTAGCAAAAGGGTGGTTGGCTCCAGAGGTCTCCAGGCCCCACCGGGAGGTTGGCATCTGTGCCACAAGGCAGCCTCGCCTAGGGTGCAGAAACACCTCGAACCGGCCCTGGCTGAGTCGCCACCACCCTCTCAATCAGTTTGCTCAAATTGGGCAAGTTGGACACCGCCTGATAGTTGGCCAATTCAGCCAGGTCCAAGGTTGGTTTTTCAGGTTTTTATCCATGACAGTAAACAGCAGCAACAAAATTGAAACAGCTCATAAAGCATAATGGTAGGGGCATGGCTCAGTGACAGTGTGTCTCCTTTACATGCAGAAAATCATTCAGTTCTTTTCTTGGAAACCTCCAGTTAAAAGCATCAGATAGTAGGTGATGTGAAAGATCTCAGCCTGAAACCCTGGAGAGCCTCTGCTAACCAGAAGAGACAATACTGACCTTGGTGGACTCAAAAGAAAGCAGCTTCAGATGTTCAAAAAAGCATTAAAAACTCAAAGCTGGGAAAGTAAAAAAGATAGGATAGGCAGCTGATGAATGTGTCTAAGGAGGGTATCCCATAACCTGGGTGCCACCATGGAGAAGGCCCTGTTCCCAGTAGGCAATCTTGCATCTGAAGTTGGGGCAATTTGAAACCTCTGGTCTCTGCAGAACAGCTGAACAAAGGTTGATGGAGAAGCAGGTGGTCCTTAGGAGGTCCTGGTCCAGGTTGTTCAGGACTTTAGATAAAACAAGAGTACTTGTATTGTCTCCGAATACAGAGCAGATGTTTTAGCAGTGGTGATATGTGATTGGCTGTACAGATCCCTCTTAATAAACTGGCTGTTGATTTCTGAGCCAGTAGAAATTTCAAAACACTTCCTAGGCAGCTCCAAATACTATGCACTGGAGTAATCTTACTTGGACATTACCAAAAGAAACAAGATGTCTCCATTACTGTGGATCGAGGGAATAATTTCCTTCTAATAATGAGAATCTATCAACTCAGTGAACGTTTTGTTTTGCTTTCTGTGTGACTATGTTGCACTGCCCATGTTGAATCTACAAAAGGATACAATGAAAACATGGAGGTTGCCCATTTCAGGAGATCTGGAGGAGGCAGCATCTCCGTGACTTCATCCAGAGAGGTCTCTTGTCAATGACGCCCCTCCAGCTCTCAGTGGAAGCAATGAGGGCGTGTTTGTTGTGTGCTTGTGATTGTCTGTGTGTGCCAGTGAGTGAGCTCTCCCCACCTGCTCTGATCACTGACTCTCCCCCTTCTCCACAGTATCATGGCGGAAAGATGGGGTCCCCTTCCAGAGCAGCACTGCGCGCCCTATCAAAGCAGAGGGCGAACGCCACACCCTGCTGGTCAAGAGTGCCCGTGTGGCCGACACTGGCCTCTACACCGTGTGTGCCACCAACGAAGTGGGCGAAGCCTGCTGTAGTGCCATCTTGACTGTGCGGCCAGGTGAGTGCGGGTTGAGCACAGCTGAGGAAGCGCCAGCTTGCCAGGCGGTAGGAGGGAGCCCAAGATGGCTCGCAGA